GATCTGGGAATCTCTGATTTATGATGGCTCCAGCCTGATTCCTTTCAAAGCTCCATTTACTATGTGATGCAGTTGTATGGTGCTACTATAAGGTGCTTCATGATTGTATATGTTTTTCTTTTTAATATATTCACTGTGTTCCACCTATTTTCTGTATTTCTTTGTATTTTATTACAAGAACACATACATACAAATCCCAGTGTCCCAATCCAAAATGTCCCAAAGTTTATGGAAGGTTGAAAAGATTTTGCTGTCTATATTAGGACACCTGAAGAACAAGGTATGTGAGCTTAATCTTAAAACTAAAATGTTTTTCTATATTCTAGCTGGCCTTGATTTTGAAGCTCTGCTGATCAAACCAAAGGAGGTTAAGGATGGCGTGAAGCTGCCTCTTATTGTCACTCCTCATGGTGGGTTATTCTCATATGGTTATGTAGTGTGCAAACAAATGGACATTTAAGTAGTGTTAGTGTGATAATTCATTATTATACAGTATTGACTTAATGTTTTACCCCCAAAAACATTCAGAAGTAAGAAATGTGAGGTTAATCCATGCTGAATTTATTTTTAGGATTGTGTCTGTGAATCTGTGTTGGGATTTGTTTGTGCTGAGTCAAGAGTTGCTGCCACAGATTAGATTGGCATTGCCAACAGTGGTTGCTATGACGATAGTGCCAAAGTTGCAAAAAGTTTCATATTTTCAAAATCAAGAATTTACATTAACGTGTTTTAATTCATCATACAGTATCATATGAGACATTTACGGCTCACAGGACTGAGCACATAAAGACACAGATAACTGTCTGTATTTTACATAACTTGCTTCTTTCACTTAGGCGGTCCCCACTCAGTGATTGTAGCTGAATGGCTTCTGTCCGCGTCTGTGCTGTGCAGGATGGGCTTTGCTATATTACTGGGTGAGTTGATATGTTCATGTGAAATGCTTTCATGTGTGACACCTGCTCAGAGGTTGATCATTGATACGATTGTACTTTATGTATGAAAGCAGATGAGCAAGGTTCACATCCTGTCTTCTTGCAGACAGAAGATAGTTTGAGGCTTGGATCAGTTACTTTGCTCGGCTCTCAGACTAGTAAAAGTGTTTACACATTTCCTTAGCCACTATTATGAACATTTAAAGAGCTCTTATGTACTTCAGGAACACACTGCTCTATGCTTACTTTCAGTACTAAACTATTCCATCTAATGGGCAGTTAATAACTGTGAGCTTAACTGTTAGCATAGTCTTTTATAAAATTTAACTTCTGTTCTATGGACTGAGGATGTGCAATTTCAACTGTGGAGCAAGAATTAAATAATGCATTTTCATTACCAGTAGTTTTCCTTTTTGCTTTAAGGTCCTTTAGTTTTTGCTCTTCAGTTTTGTTTCATAGGGGAAGTTGTGGCTGCTCAGTATATGCAGAGTCGGTTGAACCATGGTCAAGGTTGTAGTCACTGAAGCCTGACTGGTTCACTTTTCTTGGCCCAGTTTTTGAACCTGTGACCTGGTCTCAAGTAGGTCTTTTCCACCAACAGGGAACCAGCTGCGTCATGGGTCACGCACCTAGTTTTGAACTGTTCAGAGCATTTAGACCAAAAATAAATTGGTTCAGAACTGGAACAGTTGGGAACCAAAGAAATACCAGGTTTTCCATGGGAACCAAAGTGGGCGTGTCCACTATCAGAGCTAATTTGGTGGAAAAACACTAAAGCTCACTTTGATCATGTCCAGGGTGCCGTTGGCTTTAAAGAATTTGTGTAAGAATACATCATAATATCTAGCAGTAATGCATGTGTTTTGTTTTGTTTTGTTTGTTTTTTTCTTCTCAGTGAACTATCGTGGCTCTCTAGGGTACGGCCAGGACAATATCCTCTCATTACCTGGCAATGTAGGCACCCAGGATGTCAAGGATGTACAGGTAAGAATAAAAAATAACTAAAATTGACAAACATTTTATTTTATCAGTGTGTAGGATTTAGTAGTCCCTTCTGGGCTACTGTAGAAACATAGCAGTTCAACATGGCAGACTCCATGGAAGGCAACACAAAGCTTCTGTAAATATAAACACATCATTCTTAGGTAACAGAGACATAACAATTCGTACATTCGGATGATTAAACACTAATGTAAACAAACCTGTTTATATTATATTCCATTTCTGCCAATAGATCCTCCACACTCGACTTCAAAACAAAGATAATCAAGTTTTTCCAAGTCTATGAAAGTATCTTTATTAATACTTTTTAATGTAACTCGTTTCTATATATAGGTTGCTGTTGCCATAGTTTCTGATTAAGTCATGGCTCATAACAGTTTTATTGAATTTCCTTTCTTTTCGTCTTCAGTAGAGTGCCGCTTTCTTTCTTCGCCACCACAAATGTTGTCTCACGATTTCTCCATGTTCTCACCAGTTTGCTGTTGAAAGTGTTCTGAAAGGTGTCGAGTTCGACGCCAAGAAGGTGGCAGTTTCTGGGGGCTCACACGGTGGTTTCCTGGCCTGTCATCTGATTGGCCAGTACCCAGGGTTCTACAAGGCCTGCGTGGCTCGCAACCCAGTCATTAATTTGGCCTCCATGATTGGCAGCACTGACATCCCAGACTGGTATGTCTTGGCATGCACATTCCCACACTCGTTCCCACAATTCTTTTACCCATTTCATGACTGTGTCAGTTGTGCACAACCACTCAACCTTTTTGTTGTTTTATCATTTGTACCCCTGATATTCCACTCTGACAGCTTTAAGGGAGCGAGTGGGATAAAGGGCATTGCTTCACTGTCAGGGAAGGAAGTGTTCAATAATGCACACGAACACTGCAGGAACAAAAGACTTCAAAAGCGTTTCTCATCCTGTTGATGTTAAACTCTGGTTTTTGCAGGTGCATGGTTGAGGCTGGCTACAACTACAGTACAGACTGTCTACCTGACCCTGCTGTTTGGGAGCAAATGCTTAACAAGTCCCCCATTAAGCATGTCACAGAGGTATGGGTATTTGTCTGTACGGCTCTTGGTTGTGTGTATGTGACTTCACTGGTGTTTTTACACAATGTAGTAACCTAAGTTGATCTCTCATCTAGGTACAGACGCCAGTATTGCTTACCTTAGGGGAGGATGACAAGCGTGTGCCTAACAAGCAAGGAATTGAATATTACAGAGCTCTTAAAGCAAAGCAAGTCCCAGTCCGGTAAGCAGTTTGTCTGAGTAACATGTTTTTATCGGTTATGTTAGACATGCGTTGCACAACAGGGCTTTTATTGTTCACTCACTGATGCTCTGATGTGTGTTGTTTAGGTTGCTGTGGTACCCAGGAAACAATCACTCTCTGTCCAAGGTGGATGCTGAGTCTGATGGCTTTATGAACATTGCTCTGTGGATAATTCAGCACTTGTGTCAGTGATGGTAAAAGATAAATACATGGCAGCATGCTGTTGTTGCTGCCAGGAAAAGATAGCAGGACACTACTGTGTGTGTGTAAGGGATATTCTGTTCCTTCTTCCAGTGCGGTGTGAGGTCCAATCCAAAGCCAAAGCATTGAAAGTGCTCTCCAACCAGAACACACTTTGTATAACTGTACTTTATTTGTAATCTGTCTGTGGCTATGATGATTGCCACTATGACTTCCTCCAATAAGTGGATGGGGAGATAATAGTTTTAACACAGTGCTAAATCTAAGCAGTTTTGATGCAGTTTTGATTAATCAGACATGTTTTTTTTTTTTCTTTTGCAGTCTCTACATTCACAGAAAATGAAGGGCTTTTCAGTATGCTAGTTGTCTTTGAGGTGATATTAACAATTAGTGTCTTAATCAGTCTTTTCTCTGCTCATTGTAACTGTTTTTAAAAAAATCAATATTGTTTTGATTTCATGAATTTCATGATACAGTGCACTTAATAAAAGCCATTGTGAAAATACTGCCAGTGTTGGACAACCTTTGAATACATATGGATACCTTTTGTTTAGTTTGACAGGGATTTTTGACACAGGTGGTGACGTGGTAATATTACTTCCTTATATTACTTCCTCATATATTTTCTTTAGAACTTGTGAATTAAGTAAGTCCTCCAGCGTTCCACCACTTCTAATTTCTTTTGGTCACAAGTAACTAGTAACTTATTTTGACCCACTCATAGACAATACTTTTTGTAAAAAAAAATTTAAAAAAAGGTATTAAATGTATCTACTGCTCATGATTCTTATGAATTTGACTTTGGTCACATTATGATTTGCATATAGCCTCATGCTTTCACTTCTGTATAAATTGGTCCAGTGTCACTGCACAGACTTTTAGATATCTTAGATAGTCTGTCTTCTCCTGGATTTAACGATTGCTTCATCTGGTGTTCGAGGTGAATTTTAAGATGCATGTTTTACCCACTATGGTAAGTAAGATAACGTTTTATTCTGCCATCAAAAATATACTACATTTCACTTTAAGAAAATGATGTGCCTACTCTATTATTACATTGTAAGACCAGAAATTGTTGATTGAAAAGTCTTTCAAAAGCCAAAGTGATTTGTTTAGCAGTTGTTTGTTGCTGCTTTAGCAGAAAGATGTATTGGGTGATATTGAACATGTACCAATTAATGCTTGATAGACTACATCTGAACCATGAACAAACAACTGAAATTGAGTTTATTTTTTTCAGGCTGTGCTGGAAATTATCCTCATCCTTTGTCAGGTTATTCCATTAGTGAGGACTATAAATACTAGGTTCTTTCCATGTGACACGGATCAGAATAACACCGCAGTGGACTGCCACAAGAGACCACTCAAGCGTGTCTACATCAAGTCTACTACTGTAGTAACACTTAATTTAAGTCAGACTAAGATACAGCAAGTGGAGCTAAATACTTTATCAGGTCTGCCAAATCTTAAGACTCTGAAAATGATGGGGAATTGTCCACCAGATCACCAGAGAGCTTTGGAAAACCGCTCATGCAAGGTGAAGATCCGATATTATGCCTTCAAGGAGCTACTGAAGCTTCAATTTTTGTACCTGTCAGGAAACAGCCTCACCACTATTCCCTGGTTACCTGAAAGCCTGAAGGTTCTTGATCTACAGAATAATTGCATCTTCACCATTATCTACCCTCTAAAAACTCCTCATCTCGAAGAGCTCTTCCTCTCCATGAACTGTTTTTATGCAAACCCTTGCAACCAGTCCATTAATATCAGTGAGAAGGTTTTCAGAGAGCTCCCTAAACTCAAAAATCTTACTTTAGGCTATAATAATCTGACAGCTATCCCTAAAGGGTTGCCACCCTCACTGGAGAGCCTGGATTTAAGAGAGAACACAATCACAGAGGTTTTGGAAGGAGCATTTGCCAATCTGACTAAATTGAAATATCTGAATTTGGAGTGGAATTGTCAGCGTTGTGACCATGCAGCCAGGCCCTGCTTTCCTTGCCCACAAAATCTCCCTCTACTCCTACATCCAAAGTCATTCTATGTTGAGAACAGCTCCATCACCTACTTAAGCTTGAGAGGGAACTCTCTGAAAACATTTCCAGTGGGTCTTTTCCAACCTTTGAAGAATTTACAGAGATTGGACCTCTCTGACAACCTCCTAGCATATGCTATACGTAATGGCACCTTCTTTGCAGAGCTGCAGGGCCTCACTTGGATTAGCCTTATCTATAACTATGAGCCGCTGAAGACATTTAAGAAACTGATCCTCTCCCCACATATTGGCAATATATCTGGTCTACAGTATCTTCTTCTGAGCGGTAACTTTTTCCACATGCTTTCAGAAGAGAGTTTTAATGTTCTGTCCAAACTTCAAAACCTAAAAAAACTAGAACTTCGAATGAACTTCATCAATACTTGTAACTTGAAAGCTCTGAAACAGTTACCGTCTCTCATCAATGTTGACCTCTCCCAAAACATGCTTAATTTCCTTCCATGCTGTTTGAGTCCATCATCAGAGATTGTGGCACAGGGAAGCTGTCAGCAACAGAACATGTATTCACATGATGTTCCTCAGCCACCCCTTATGTTAATAGATAGAGAAGTCACACCTGTGACAAGTGACATTTGGAAATCTGACCAGTTAAACGGGCCGGAAATGTTGGAAGATGACATGCCCCAATTTCCATCATCGCTATGGAAAAAATTCTGCCGACATAACCTGACATTGGACTTGTCTCAAAATGACATTCTGTCTCTTAAAAAAGAGGTGTTTGTAGGCATGGAAAATGCTGTTTGTTTAGACCTTTCCTTCAATTACATGAGTCAGGCATTGCAGAAAGGGCTGTTTGATAGCATGAAACATTTAGTTTTTCTTAATTTGTCATACAATAGACTAGATTTTTACTATAACGATGCTTTCAGTGAGCTTAAAACAACTCTTAAGCTATTAGACGTTAGTAACAATGACTTTCACTTCAAAATGAGGGGCATGGGCCATCGTTTAGAGTTCATTCAAAATCTGACTAACTTGGAAGTCCTCAGTCTGGCAAACAATGGCATTGGGATGCGAATAGATCAAAGGTTGATTAGCAGCTCTTTGAAGTACCTCTACTTCTATGGAAATCGCCTGGACATTATGTGGGACAACAACAAGTACACTCATTTCTTCCAAAACCTGACAAACCTCACCTACCTGGACATCTCTAACAATGAACTGAGGTCGATCACACCAGAACTGCTGTGTAACCTCCCAGGAAGTATTAAGACTCTCAGAATCAGCAGTAATCAGCTGAACTATTTCCCATGGCAAAACATCTCAGCACTCAGCAATTTAAGTCACCTGGACCTCAGTCAAAACTTACTCACTTATTTGCCTCATAAAGTCATAGAGTTTGGAGCCTATTTTTCTCTCTTGGACCTCAGTCACAATCGCATTGGTTTTATTCCCGTAGCTTTCTTTAGTAAGGCAAAATACTTGCAATATTTGTACCTCAGTCACAATCAGATCAAAGAGTTGAACCATCAGTTTCTCCCTACCCCTTTTCAAAATGGTAGTGCTCTTCAGAAACTCACCCTGCATGCCAATCCCTTTAAATGTGACTGTGATACATCTTGGTTTGCGGACTTCTTGCGCACTACTCCGATAGAGATTCCTTATCTCACCACACATGTACACTGTGAATACCCAGAGTCCCAACAGGGCAACAGTATACTGTTTATGGACCAGCGTTCCTGCCAGGATATATATGGTAGCTTAGCCTCCCTCATCTGTTCCTTCTTGGTTGTGACGTTCACTGTTCTGCCCCTACTGAAGCATCTCTATGGCTGGGATCTGTGGTATTGCTTACAGGTACTTTGGGCAGGACATAAGGGCTACTCCGTATTGGCTGGTAGTGATTCCCATCAGCACTACGATGCTTTTGTGGTGTTTGACACCGAGAACCAGGCTGTGAGGGATTGGGTCTACAATGAGTTAACTGTCAATCTGGAGAACTCTGGTCACAGGAAGTTTTCTCTCTGTTTGGAAGAGAGGGACTGGATTCCTGGGCTCTCATGTATTGAAAATCTACATAACGCTGTGTACAACAGTGTGAAGACGGTGTTTGTGCTGTCCAGTGGTGCAACTGGTAGTGAGACAGTGAATGGTGTGATCCGCCAGGCTTTCTTCATGGTTCAGCAGCGCCTTCTGGATGAGAAGGTCAGTAAAAGTAACTTTTTTATAGTTTCATGTGGATTTTGTGGGTGTGAATCTTACCCTTTCTGTGTCGTTGCCATGGTTTCACAACACTAAATGATCTTTGATTTTACCCAAACAAGGTGGATGCAGCTGTGCTGGTTCTGTTGGACGATATGTTTCCCAAACTGAAGTACCTTCAGCTGAGGAAAAGGTTGTGCAGAAAGTCTGTCCTGTCCTGGCCGAGAAACCCAATGGCTCAGCCCCTTTTCTGGAACCAAGTGAGAATGGCGTTGTCGTCAGATAACCTCAAGTTTTATGACAACAACATGAGTGAAAGTTTTTTATGATGACCTCTTAACGGCTGATAGTACTTTGGTGAAAGAAGTCCTTGTAATTAAGAATTTTGCTATCTTAACATTACCTAATTTTGACAAACCTACCCTACCCTTAATGGTGTTACATGCATAATGATGTTTGATGTGACTATAATTTTTTTTTTAATATTTTCCCTTTTTGTTCTGATTGTTACTGACTGTGTTCTATTGGAATTTGATGTTGATTCTTTAAATTTCCATTCCTGTGTTTTTTTTCCTTGTTTTTTTAAATTCTTTTTAGTGAATTAATGCTTGTCTTCAGAGAGCTTATGCTGCATAAGGGACATGTCGCTATTGTGGGCTGCAAAGTGAATTGAGACACTCTACATTGTACATAGACATGCACTTATGCTTGACTATACAAATAAACTTCACTTGATTTCACTTGAGTAGCTTGATTTCACCAGTATTACACGGGAGTACTGTAGCGTGCCTGTTCAAAAGAAACCCCCATCCCCAATTTCACATTTTCACTTCTCTTTTTGTAAGTTGAGGAAATGAAACTGATGATTATGTCTTACAGGTTACACATGACAAACATCTTCACCTGCTTCACCCACCTAAAGTAAGCAGAGTCACCTGTTATTTCTCAGTTTCCTCTTCAACAGTTTCACAAGTTTAAGAGGGAAACTTGGAAACAGCTACACTAATTTAGTCTAATATCATGTAAGAAAGCAAGGAAGCTTTACTAAAGTCATTCTGTAGGATGCTTGCCAGAATAAGAGGAAACCTATACAACAAACAGACCTCCTGCACAGGTTGTGCGCCTTGTTGCGCGGCACACCTATTTTAGCCTGCGGGCTGGTATCGAAATTAATTTTTTTTCCATCTGACAAACTGTACCACATTCCTTTTGAGAGTGAAACCTCTGACACAAACATCTATTCTTACTCATTTTCTGGGTGAGTTACATTGACTGAATGGACAGTTAACTGTACAGCTGCAGTAAACTTCTTAAAATAAGCAACGGGGGACCACAGTTCAATCACGTGGTATTATTTTAGGTTAGGTGTCTTGCCCTCTGGGGTGTCCTTCCTTTTTCCACCCCCTGCCCCTCAAACAGCCTGAGTCCGCCACTGTCTACAGCCCATATAATAAATAAACTCACTTTCATGGGATTACATGAGTGATGACTGTCAGGGTACAGTATTGTATTTGTTTTTCTGGTCTGAATGCAATCCTATTTGTTACTACTTTATTTATTTTTTTATTCGGGTTTAAGACCTTGCAAGTGCCATGCCCAACCCAACTGACTCCCATGTAGGTGTATGAAAAAAGAAAATAAAAAAAGAAATCATCATCATTGCTGTTCGTGCTGCCCCATCACGCCGCGCGCGTAGGTCGCGCACGCGCCAGCTTGGGAGAGAGCGCGCCCACGAGGACCCGATGGCAGGACAGGTCATAAGAGAGCTGAGCCGATGAGATCATGGAGCCTGCGCCGAGGTCGCACAGGTTTCGGTCGGGACTTCGCGGTGGCCGTGATGGAGAGGTGCCTGTCCGGTAAGATGGAGCACCCAACACGTCGCGTGCACACCGGGGTTTTGTGGCACCATTTGGCAACATTATTTAAACAAATGAAACTCTGCGCTCCCAGTTTGTGTGGCAGATTAATTATTATGTAAGGTACTAGCTCGAACTCATGTAGCCGTGTGCATATGAAAAAAAAAAAAAACAACTAATCCTCCATGCCGTGGTCGTAGTAGAGTTGTCCGGGCGTCCGTGTCCGGTGCTGTGTCAGTCACATGCCCAACGACCGTTTTACTCGTGCCACCCGTGGAAATACAATGCGGTCAACTTCTTAGTTTGTTCGTGAGGTGGGCAGCATGTTGAGCTGTGTGAGAGGGGCTCGTATGGACAAATGGTATCATGAAAATCACGCTATTGTTCGTTTGGGTGGTGACTCGAGTTTTCTCTTCTCGGCAACAGCTGGCTACCAACTCAGAAGTAAGTGCACAGGTTTGAGGCCGGTAGGAAGTGAGGCGTTTTCCTATTTCTTTATGTTACAATTTATTGTTCAACATGTCTTTCTTTGTCAGTGTGGTTCGACAAGTAGCCATACAGCTGCCTAAACTTGGAGCGTGCCGGCCAGTTGTGAGGCTTCCATGTTAATGCCATTGATGGTATCTGTAGCCTAAGCTCCAGTAGTAGCAAGCTACCATGTTTGTGTTAGACACAGTTCAAAGTCTCTGTGATTTAATTTTATTCAACGCCATTGAGTTTTCACGGTAAATAAATGCACAGCTGTTGTGTCAAAAGTATTCACGGGATTGGTGCTTCCATTGCACACACACACACACACACACACACACACACATATATATATATATAAAGGTTAAATTCATTGTCTCAAACAATGATGGATAAGGGATTGACAGCTATGTTATGACTGACAAGTAGACTTAACCAATCTCTCAGTTGCATCCTGTGCAGTGACTCCCAGCACCCAATCCTCTTGGATTAGAGGAGGGATTATGATTTGGATTTGCCTCTGCTTTACAGACAGTCCCCAATATCTGGTCCATGGTGGACTGGGTTGTGCTTACTTTGATTTCCTGAGGGCATTTTTTTTTGTACAGCTATTTGCTTCAAAGACAAAAAATCACCGAATATTGTTTATGGTATAGACACATAGTATAATATTTTTCATAGTGATTTTATCTTATTATGGGCACAGTTTTATTATGCTGTACTTTCCAATTATGATTTAGCCTAAATTCCAAGGGCCTATTTTTATTCGAAGCCTAAGGTACCGGTATATCCTCAACCCTGATAAAGTCTAACGATGAGCTTTGGAAGTGCCCCAGAGGGAAGGCAGATAATAAAGACTGGTCTTCCAATTCCCTTTGCAATCTGCCATGGCCGTAGCCAATTACACTATGTTGTCCCTGTTTCCTCGAGCCCTGAGCAGGCGTCAGAGTCCATGTGCTTCATAATGGCAGATTGAGTGCTGTCCATGGTGCTGAATTTGTCAAGCTGGTCACTCTCCTTTTTTTTTTTTTTTGCCCTCACCATCTACTGCGGTGGCTGTGGCTGTGTGAGGTGTTTTCTACATCATTAGGGAAGAATCTTGTAGTATGCTACACACCTACTGGCATTTATCTCGTCACTCTCACAACCACAAATAAGGAGGAGAAAGTGTTAGAGAGTGCTGTAGTAGCAGTGAGAGAACTGGTGGTCATCAGTGGCCCCCAGCCCTGCTGCTGTGGACCCACAGTCTTGCTCATTCTCCAACGCTCTGCACACATCTGATTAGCGGAGGCAGAGGTGAGCTGGCGCCTTTCAGCTTTTGATCAGCCACGCCTGAGCAGGGAAAGATTAAAATAATATTTAAAAAAAAGCTACCCCAAGAGCAGGCTTGGAAACCACTGCACTGCAAGAATATAGTTGTGATGTACTAAATGTCTGCCTGTAGCTGGTTCTCTGAATTATTCAGTGCAACACATTATGACATTTGGTCTTTTAGGTCTATAAGATCTTAATTATTTAGTTTTACCATAAACTGTATGTAGGGCTGGTTAGTGAACATACAATTGGTTTTGAGATAGTTTCTGATTTAAATCATAATTCTGGCTATTTTAGATCATGTTATGTTTAGACAGCATTTGACATTTGATAAACTCTGAATATCATAAAGAGAAAAGGTTTTTGGAGAAAAACATGTCTACAGAATATTGCTGAAAGCATAGTAACCCTAACCCCTCAGTATGAAACTGTCTTATATTTGCAATAGTATATAGTATAGTAGATAACCAGCCTATGAACCATGTAGTAATTCTGCTTGTTTATTTCTTTTTAAATGATATTAAAATCCTCTCTATGCTTGTCCCTTTTTACCTGTCTAGAATCCATTATGTCCTACACTGTAGCTGAAACCACAAGACCCCTGCCCTGTGTGTCTGGAAGCCCTCTAGCCAACAGTCAGTGCCACTTGCTTCTAAAAGGACTAAATAAGACTCAGCCTCGAGCCCTAAACAATCAGGGATGGACAGGTGAAAACTGAGAGGCCGAGAGGCGGCCTTTATTCTCAAACTCGTTATTCATTCTGGTTCTGTAGAGGGACATGAAAATATTCCTGACCTTAACAGTTTCCCCTCAGAAGTTGACTTTTGCCATATAAAAAATGCCTTTAAACATCAGAGCCAAGCCCTCGCAGAGCAAGCTGTCTGCTGGCTCAAAGAGTAGTGGGCACACTGATGGCAACACATCTCATTCACGCTTTTCCAGATCCCCCAAACAGGGGAAAGGCAAACAGGCTGTAAACTCAGCACCAGGCTCCCGCTCAGGGCTAGAACCAGGCTCCGTGTCAGGGGGTGGGCCTGCACCAGCGACTAAATCGGCTGGTAGTCAAGGGTCGGTGTCAAGGCCAGGTTCGAAGATCAAACCTGGTACAGCAGCAGACAAAGGAGTAACCCGTGGCTCAGCAACAGCGCCAGGGGGTAAAACCCTGTCTATGGAAAACATCCAGTCTTTGAGTGCGGCCTATGCCACTTCAGGCACAATGTACCCCAGTGAGCGGGATTCCTTGGAACCCTCTGGTGGTTATCCAAAAGGCACCATGACACTAGGCAGGAGCACCAGCCGCTCCTCCTACACTAATCGGACAACAGCCATGGGCAGCAGCCCAAACATCACCTCCTATGGGCTGCATCACCCGTCAGACCCCTATGGAGACCAAACCTCGCAACCTGCTGGGACTTCCAGTCTCCGGTGCCAGTCTGGGAGACATCCGCAGGCACTGGATTCGACTGGGCGAGGAGATGTTTCCACGTTTGATCTCCAGGCTCAGCTGAGGGGTCTGCAGAGAGAGAATGACAACCTGAGGAGAGAACTGGATGGAGGGAGGGATGGAAGGACGGGCCCCAGCGTGAACAATGTCAACTTCTGGAGCCCAGATGTGAAAAAAGACAAGGGGGTTAGGCGGGAGGAGGGTGTGCGGACCTCAGTTCTGAAGGACCAGTACAGGACTAACCAAGAGGATTTGCAGGTGAGAAGAAGTGACAAATGAAAGAGTTTGTTTCAAAAATGCATTATTTCCACTCAAATGGCTTTGAGCAAAACACAAGCGGTTTCATCCACTGCCTGTTTATTGCATCAAATGCTCAACACCTTCAGTATTCAACAGTAAGTCACTGTAACATCAAGTCTCAAACGTTGGAAATCTCATTTTGAAACAAAACTCTTTGATTTGTCCGCTCACACATCACACTTTCTGTGTTGACCCGTCGATCTCCTCCGCACATCGTTCCTCTCACGTCACACCTTTTGTTCCTGTCTTCAAGGTTGCATAGGAAGGCTTCTGTGCAGTTTATTTGTAAAGATGTTTGCCAGGCTCAGCGCTGACTGTGTTTCCATGGGAACGTGCCGTAGCTGTGGCCATTCTTAAGTGTTAGCCAGATCCTAAAAAAGCTCACAGCTACTCCTGAAGGGACGGTGACCAGTCTGTCCTGCGCCACCTCTCCCTGGAGTCTGTCGCACTCGGTCTGAGGCATTAGCCATCTGTCCGTCTCACTGCACGGCTGCTATATATCTGTTCTTTCATTATCTATCCTTTAGTTTCCTGTTTTGGCGGCCCTCTGTTTCTCCATTTGTCTGTGTGGCATTTCACTTCCTTGTGTGTCTGTGGTTGTATGGTGGGGAGAAATAGGTGTTTCTCTGGAGGAAAATACCTGGAAGTCTGTGTAAGATATGTTTCATCCTGTTCAGAGAATTATTCACACTATACAGCTCGTGCAGTCTCTATTGACTCTCTTTCTCTCTTGCTCTTCATCACTTTCACACAAGCATGCAAAAACTTTAATCATGTCTGCGCTCTTCCATCTGACTCCTCCCCCTTGTAACCAAGGAGCCACCTCTGCATTTGTATTTATAGCTTTCTCATCTCACATTGTCATACAGTGTGAGGACACTGTGACACACACACACCCACAACATGCACAGACTTTCTTCTGATTTTAAAACCAAACATAATAGAAACAGAACATTTGAAAATGTATACAGATTAATAATCATTTCTGTATAGCTTTATAAAGTTGCGGTAAATAAATGTTTCCCAAAACGCTTCCTTAACAAACACAATTGTATGCTAAAATTGCGTGAAGAAGCCACCACTCACATATAGGTACACATGAAAAGATACACACTACTTTTATCACCTACAAAACTGCCAGAAGGTTTATAGGCAATAAATGTGTTTGCCGCTGGACTACTGATGTTGAGATTCTGATGTCTGTAGCATTAAAATGGAGACACTCAGTGTTACCAGTCTCTGTGTATCTGCAGGCTTGTCCCGACTTGGCCCGGTCTGTGATAGATGGATGTGTTTGTCTCTGTTCTGCTCCTTCAGGCGACAGACACATACAACTAGTGTATGACTGTTTCTTCAAGTGTTGGCTTATTTGTCTCTACAACAGCAATACACTCTACTGTCTTTTTACCGTCATACTTTTCTTCTTTTATTTTTGTTTATCTAATTAAACCACTTACAGTACCTTATCTGTAGATATATGATCCCATAACCCTTTATGGACCTCATGAGAATGAAAGCATAGGTGTAGAGATTGTTTGTGCTTTATACTAACATATAATACACTAGTAGAGGCAGAATTTGTTAATTTTTATTAATCATCATTTAAAACTGGCATTGTAGAATCCATTTAAAACCTTAGGGAACAGATGTATCGGAAAAGCCGCCACAAGATAAAAATAAAATACTCTACAAGGCTCTAAATTAACAGCATATGTAGCAAGATCAATAAAAAGTTTATACTGAAAACTGTTGTGACATACAGCCACTAGTGATGTGTCCAATTTTAGTGTTGGTAGTTATTCAGTTGCTGCTGTATCCAAGTAAGTCAGTTTACTCTTACACTCTCTCTCCCTCACGCCTTCTTACAGACAGACACACCTAGTGCTAGCTCAGGCCCAGCTGATAGTTACTGCATCTCTGTTGGCAGTAATGATTCATCGTTAAATTGATACCAACCCCTTTTTGTCTCTCAGCTTTCACCGTAAGTTTCTCTCACAATGTTTGCAGCCATGTCATATAAAATCAGATAAAAGCCCAGTTTCTTTCAGGCACTTGTTTATTTTGAGAACGCAAATCTTTACCTCATGCAGAAAATGTTATTGTAACTCTTTATCTGCAGTCACCTCACTCTCTTATCACCACTATCCCCCAGATGATCACTTTTCTCCCCTTTTTCCTCTCCACTTCTCCTGTTTTTTGCCCTCTGAGACACTCTGGGAAGAGTTCAGTCTGACAAGAGAACTTTGTAATTAGCATAAAGAATGTCACCTTTTCTCTCAGCTGCAATGACCAGACTTGTCCCCTAACCATCTGCTTGTTTGGTATGTGAATGTATGTGTGTGCGCGTGTGTGTGTGTTTGTGTGTATGTGTGTGTGTGTACACTTGTACATATGTATTTGTGTCTACAGTCTTGGTTGTGTGTTTGTGCGGAGGATTGTCCACCCACACTGACTTAATATTCAGTGCTATCTTGTTGCATTGATTATCCGTGTTCACCCTCGTCTTCCTCCTACATCTCAGCTCTGTCCTTGGCGCCCCCCACCTTCTGGACTCAAGCAGTGGAGTAAGAATATTTGAGGAATAATTAGTAATATCTTCAAAAAGAGGGAAAGATTAGTCATTTAACTTCTGTTAAGTGTTTGTGTCAATGAATCCTTCACATGTGTTATGTTGAGTAAGATCAGCCTTTTCTCACCGTGCTCAGTCAATCACAAGAATGCTCTGTGTCCATGGTTTCAGCCACAGAATGAATTTCCATTTGCAAGTCAAGAAAGCTGAGAGCTGTGGATGTAAATTGGCATATTGTATTCTGTATGACTTTGCAGTCATAGCAGTAATATTGAGTTATAGCTGTTGTCCAGAGCAGCACTCTACTGGGGCCTGTTTGTGTCACTTAATAATCAAGTTAATCCCATAAAAATTAATTCAAGGCAAAAATCTTCGAACAGGGAATGTTTTTAAGATAGTGCACATGACATTTAAAATGTTCTGTTCAATATGATGATTCAGCCAAGAAACAGTGTGGGAAATGTACTCACCAATGGATAAAATGAATCATTGTTTAAACAGTTTTCCAACGGTTTTGCTACTAATGTAATTTATTATGGTCTGAACTTTTTGATTGTTCTGTTTTATTCGTCTGGCCACTAGTTTGCCAATTTCTTAATTATGTCCCCAATTAATTTATTGGTCAGTTTATTTATTAAATTGATTATTAAGTGACACAGTTGGGCCCCTGGAACATTATCATCTTTTATCCCACCATTTCCCCCTTTGACATTCAACTCTCTGCAAATAAAGCCAACTCACTTTTGCTTCTGGTTAGTCTCCCTCTGTTGTGAAAAGAAATACCGCCCCCTGGTGGTGTAACCATCAATCAACAGCTTAAAGTTATCTACAGAGTGGTTTGATATTTAGAGTATATACTTTTTTCTACCTGCTTTCTATTTTGGCTTTATGCATGTGTCTGTCTTTCTTATGTCTCTCTGCTGCAGCCTGGGGATATCAGAAGGAACAAGGTCTGTCTTTTGTACCCCAACGTGTCGTTTTTTATATGTGTTTGTCATCATGTGTGTTGTGTGTTTTTCCAATCATTTGGCGCCTGATCGTTCTCTGTCTCTGTAGCAGCTTCCGTTGACAGTTCAGGAGCTTCAGGAGGAGCTAAGGGCTCACAGGGAGATGAACAGTCGCCTGCAGCAACAGCGACAGCAGGGGAACTCTGGCTCTTATCGAGAACTCCATACGGACCAGGACCACAGGGGGGGGCTCAGCCCTGGCCACAGCCCCAGGCAAAGCCCCAGCAACCTGCACAGTCCTGGACCAAAGAACAGCCCGAGAGCCAGCCCATCCAACACCTATAATCCGAGGCAACAGGAAGCTGATGTCATCATTCACAGCCCTGGTTATGGCTGTAACACTGCAGCAACTACGATTAGAATCAGCCCAGCCAACACCCTTCAGCCTGGGCGGAGGAACAGCCCAAATCAGCCCATCTTCAGTCCCGGCCAAGGTCCGGTGGTAGCACCCAGCTCTGGTTCACTCCGACCCTGCAGCCCCTGCCTGGTGCCTGGGTGTGACGGCTTTTCTTCATCTTCCCCTCTGGATCCATCAGAGGAGAATTTCTTCCGGATGCAGTCGGAGCACGAGCGGCAGGCCAAGGAGCTGTTCCTGCTCAGGAAGACCATGGAGGAGATGGAGATGAGAATTGACTCTCAGAAGCAGACGCTGGGTGCCCGGGACGAGAGCATCCAGAGGCTGCTGGAGATGCTTCAAGGCCAAGGTCAAAGTCAAAGTCAAAGTCAAGGTCAAGGTCAGGGACACTGGGGTCGGGGGCAACGGACAGGCATCATAACCATGGCGGCACAGGAAGCAGAGGCGCAGCTGGAGAACATGCATGTCAGAGAGGTGTGTTTTTCTCCCCAGGGGTAAATGGTTATGTGTCTGAATTATTCATCTAGTGTCAACGTGATTTTAACAGCAGGGCTGAGCAGTATGTCGATTATTATTTATCATCTTTCACTTTGATAGGATCACGGCAGTTTTTTTATATTGCGATTCATATTACACGATTTGTTGCCCATCAACAATTCAGAGCAATTACTATGAGTTTACCCATGGTTGTAGAATTAGACTTAGCATCATCCAGTGTGGTGCATGATGGCTAGTCAAAAACATTAAGATATCATGTGATTTTAAACCAAAGAGATATTGTTATTTATATTAATGGTTACAATGATATATTTTTTCCATGTTGTACTCTCATATCGTATGTGTTTAATTGTTTGTGTGTGTGTGTGTGTCTGTATTATGTAGAGTGTGGGAGCAGAAAGCAGCTCAGCAGGTCTTATCAATGGGCCAGATTAACATACGGAGAGCTCTAAGCCTGTGTTCAGCCATACAGTTTTACAATCTGACTCAGTTGGTGTGTGTGTGTTTTTGTGTGTGTGCGTTCCTGGGTGTGCACATGCTCATATGGCAGTTGCTCGTGTGCCCCTTTTTTCTGTGCGTTGTTCATAGTGTTTGGCAGTTATTTTACACCATGTGGCATGCACTGAGCTTTTTTTTTTTTACAATGGAATTAAAAAATAATTGCAGCCCATCAAAAATCAGCAGTTATAATATGAGAAAATGTACTTGGTATTGGTATGCTCAGACCTCACTCTTTCCTGTTTTTTTATGTCTTCCTCAGAGACTCAGTTTTATTGATTGACTACTTAAAATTACTAGCCCTCCAGTGAGTGGTCGTATAACACCGGCGTCTCCATATTCTCTGCCAGGAGGGCTTGTAGTAGGCTGCTCTGTGCTCCTCACTCCTGCCTTGTTTATTTTTAACTCCTAAATCTTCTTAGCCTTTAATTTCTCTACCTCTCCTGTCAGCGTGTGTGTGTTTGTGTGTGTGTGTGTGTGTGTTGTATGTCTGCGCAGCCTTTGCTATTGTTTGTGCCATGATGTTCTTGTTTTTCTGTCTATGTGTTGTTTGTCTGCTTCTATGTCTGCCGTGCCCAGTCAGAATGATTGTGTGTATGTGTGTTTGTCTGTTTGTGTATGTGAGCATGCGTGCACATCTGGGGCCTGTCGGCTTAGCGTTCCTAGCAAGGACACTCCCTCGCTGGGCTGCCGGTGGCTGATGGGATATCCACCCATGCCGGGTGTTTGGTCACTGTGATGATTTTGTCAGAGGGGAGCGTGGGCGTTTCGGCCCATGCTAATGCAACCACTGCTGTGCATGTTTGTACTTGTGCATGTGTGTGTGTCTGTGCGTAATGTATGGGACCTAACCATGCTGTGTGTGTAAGAGGTGAGTACCTGTTCACACACACTCTGTGTGCTGTGCTATTTTTAACTGCTTGACAGCTTAACACATACTGTGGGTGTAATGGAGGAGGAGGGGTGATTGGGTCAGAGAGGTGAGGTGAGAGAGAGAGGGAGAGATGGGAGAAAGGAGTGTTTTTCTTAGGTAGAAAAACAGGCTGTGTTTGTCTGAATATTAATGTATGATTAATGAGGAAAAACACTCTGACCGCCCTGATTGAAAAGAGAGGCGATTGTTGTTCTTTCGTTTTTTTCCTTCGTGTCCTTCTGCCCTCCTCTCCTCTGAGGTTGAGATGGGGTGATGGAGTCTCTGTATGTGTGTATATATACATATATATGTATATATACACTCATTTATACATATATATATATATATATACACATATGCCCACACAAACACACACACATACACAGGGCTGAACTGATTACAGCTACAGTGAATTATTCCGTTTTTAAGCCAAACTAAAAGCCTGGCTTAAAGTGAAACAAACTGATTTGTAGGCAGTAGACTCAATGTTCATATGCTGTAAAGCTATTTGAATTGCTATTTGTTGTTGTAATTTTATTGTGTGGATTATATGTACATCAGATGGTAAGAGGTATGTTTAACAGATCCATAAGTAATATTATAAACATTAACATTTTCTAAATGTTGTGTACAGCATAGTGGTGAAGAATAGCCAAGTTAGTCTGTCAGTTTCATGCAGTTATGGTTGGTGTGGAATTTGGGTGTTAAAGGTTAGGCTGAATACAGATTAATAGAAGGATTTCTACGCACTTATTTAACCGTAAGAAGCAGCCTACTTCCTGTGAAGGCCTCTCTTTGTTTGTGTGTCAGACTGGTAATTTAGCCTTATGCTTGCACTTGTCATGGTTAGTGAAGGCAAGCCGGTGATGGTGGTGCAGCTATTGCCTCTATTAGGGGGCACTACTTTTAGTTCTTTTGATTAGCTCCAGAGGAAACCAGCCCAACTGCCTTTCATTACTGTGCCCATTACTCTCCTTTAAATGACCCAGCTTGTTTAGCTTGAGCTGGGATAATAAATGCCTCCATTTTCAGTTCACCTCTGCTTTTATTTATCCTTCAAACATGGCTGAGGGTTGGCATGGGGGCTTTTCTTCGTATTCGTTGCTGGTTTAAAGAGAAATTATCACCTTAAATGTTTATGTTATAAAAACATTTTTTATATAAGGAAGGTTCAGGAGATTGTTGTAAAAATGTATGAACCTATGATGCTAATCAGATAACTGAGTAAGGATCCACAGGAAAAAAAAAAAAAAAAA